AGAACGTCGAATCTGAATCACTTGAAAAAAACACGGGGGTGCTTAACTTTTTTCCAGGTGTATATATTGAAGTCTGTCAGATATGTAATCTATGTTCAAATAACTATGAAGAGATTTGCTGATGTGCGCGTGTAACTTGAAGAAATGAAATCAAAATTGGCGGCCAAACTGGTAGATACACTAACAGCATTGAAAAAGTCCAGCATGACCAGGTGGTTAGGGCGCTCGACTCGCAATTTGCTGGTCGCGGGTTCGAATCCCCGTCACATCAAACATGCTCGCCCTTTCAGCCGTAGGGACGTTATAATGCAATGGTCAATCCCACTATTCGTTGGTAAAAGAGTAGTCCAATAGTTGGCGGTGATGACTAGCTGCCTTCTCTCTAGTCTTTAATTATTCAAGTATGGACAGCTAGCGCAGATAGCCTTCGTGTAGCTTTGCGCGAAATCCATAACAAACAAGCATTGATAAGAATTTTACAGCAAATATTCATTCATTAGTTACCCAGGCCGCATTTTTTGTTTGTTTTCATTCCTTTAAGTCACACGCTGAATTCTTTTTTTTTTGGCCGCACCTTTTTTTTCCACACATAAGGTGTTTTTGATTAGATATTATGACTTTTTGTCAATATACACCAACAAACCACACCAGATAAGAAAGTGACACTCGATAGTAACCAACAATCGCAACCCTATTATTCGGAACAGATCTATACTTTACAGAAACAAGCATATACTTTAAAATACATGGTGATAGTTTCCTCTCTAATACAGTGTTAATAGCTTCCTTTATACTAACGCCATGGAATTTAGATTAACAGTTTCTTGTCATCACCCCCATGCAATTGGTACAGCGGTATTAAGCATCATAATTTTTGCTAATTGCTTGAGCTAATATCACATGACGCTAAACGCTCTTTAATTAGGGTAATTTCATAAAATTTAATAAATTTGTGCTGAAAAGTTGAATAATCAATAATAACCGTCCACTCGTATGATTTTTTTTGAAAAGTTGAGCTGGAAACTGCTATTCTTGTTTGCTTGGTCTAACCAATACTTACATATCTGCACGTTCCTTCACCTTATACTTTTGCTGCTCTAAATCAGCAGTATCTAATCCGAATGACCAAAACTAAAAATGGTTCACTTCAACTCTAGTAAAAATGCTAGACCGATAGCTTACGTGACATTTTTGCGTACGCGTGCGCAAAAATTTTCGTTAAATGTGAGCGCTTTTTGTTGAATAACTTTGCATATGTGACTTATATTTACACCAAATGAGACCCCTAACAGTAGGGTTTAAAGCTCTATCAGAGTACCAAATTTGAAAACAACAAATCCATAACAATTAGTCTGTTTTCTATCAAACAAAGTTTCCGTACCTTTGGGGCAGAAAAGGAAGAAACTAAATCAAAATTGGCGATGTTAGGTATTTCCTAATGAATTGCCTTGAAATTTGGTATGTCAAGTAAGATCCCAGTAGAGCACATCCACTGAAAATATAAGATAGCTTGCATTATCACAGTCCGAGCTACAGAAGGCGGAAAATCGCTAAACTATCAATCCTGTTAATAACATGCTGTTGTTTAAGAATAAAACCTTGTTCCAAAACGGGCGAGGACACAAATATATACCAAATGTTGTTGGTTATTCCAATAGCAAATAAGGTTGATGCCCTCAAATTATTATCTGACCACTCGCACCAACAGAATAAATATCTGTCCACCTTTAAATAGTTTTCCTATATAGCAATCTTTCATGTGATGCCAAAAGAAAATGACACAAAAGAATAGGTAAATATAACAAAATTAATCTAGCCACATTCCATGACCAAAATTCTACTGTTAACACTACACACATACAAACTAGAAATGCGAAAAAGGTTTTAAATTCTGGGCTAATAAGAAATGCTCACTTTATTAAGCACAGGAAACACATCAGTGATGGGCCATGCTAATATAAAATCCCCTAGATAAGCATAGGTAATCAATAATAACCCCCAAATACCAATTACCTCATTCACTCTACAAGAGAGGACCAGTGATATCCAATGGTATTCTTTGCAACCTAGAATGAACCCTGTCAGTGTTCCCTGTCTAGGCTGGTTTTATCTCTTGGCATTGCACACCATACAACTGATAAATGTCTTGACATGAATGTGACCCACTGAATTGCTGTCACACATTAACTCAGGTACATGTAACATTCTGGTGGCATTGTGCAAAGCCTGAAGTATTTCCTGCCTCAGAGCTTTGGGGGCTACTAGTTGCAGCACAGGTTGAGAACCACCCTGATGGCTTATAATAATGGTACAGCACAACCTTCTTTACTTATAGCTGCTTGTACAGGTATTAGTGCTTCCAAACCATTAATCATGGTATCCACCCACCAGTAAAATCTCCTACTGTGTGATTCAACATAACTGTTGTGGTAATAACTTTTAACTCCTGTACAGTGTCCAGGATTAGGACATTCAGCAAACAGATAAGCTCTTGCCATCCAGCAGATCCAGGTGATGATGTAAAACAGTCATACTCTTGCAATGGCATGATTCAATGTACAATTATCTCTCCAAGGTTTTAAAGTTTATGAACTATTTCCATGATGCATGGTCCACATGAAAGGTGAAATTATATCATGCAAATAGTGGCAGTAATGGTTGATGAATACTTAGACTACAAGCAGATCTTTTTTCACTATGAAGTATCTACATTCAAGAGACATCAACATACAACTAGTATACGTGTTCCATTCCATCCTGCAACAATACTGCCAAAATTCCATTACTTCTGGAACCAGTATACAGAAGGAATTGACAATCTTACCATGGGTGTGCTAAAACTGTATCACATCTTAGTGACTGACACAGTTAGTTTTCAGTCCATATGAATCACCTTTAGTGAGAGCAGATGGATGACATTGCAGCAATCTTCGAAAAATTGTCCACAAAAGCACTGATAACATGACACAAAACAAAGGAAAATGCAGATCTCTCAAACAGTCATGGGCTGAGGCCATACTCGTACCACTTCAATTCTTGCAGACCATCACTACCCACAATAATATCAAATAACCTCACCTGTGTAAGGATAAGCAAATGCTTTCATGGCTTCAAATTCCAGTGAGCTTTTCTTATCTACTAAAGTACTATGCTCAGGATTTCAGCAGCAGACTTAAACACATGGCAACACACCAAGACATCATCAACATAGATCAGACATCACTCTCACTGCAGTCTTCTCACGCAGTATAAGCTTTTGTTGCTCAAAAGTGACAAGCATGTTGAACAGGTAAAATGGCATGATGTGGAACCTGTACCAACCATCTCAGTGTTACAAGTGGTTAAAAATCTAAACAAAGCTGACATTCCATTCTTGATTACCATACATCTCGTATACCTATATTAAGAGTGAAGATACAAGTTTAGGAATAACATTGGTTCTGTATTATATATCAAATTGATTTCTATCCTTTCTACAAACCATTAATAGCACAACTATTAACATTCTGCACAGCTAATGACACTCGAGTGTGATAAGGTGTAATCTTTCGAGTCTGTTTAACACTGATCCATATATTTCTAGGAGCATTATTTCAATCTTTTATTTTTTCATCTCTGACATGTGATTTTCATTAATGTGTCTGACTCCAAGTCAATAATTGTTTAATAAACAATATGTTTAGCAGTTTGGGTGGTACAAAACAAAATAGTTATGTATCAAATATCAACTTTTAAAATCATGAGTAAAGGAGCTCAACTCATGGTTGATTGGCACTTTCTTCATGAGTTCTAATGTGAAAAATTTCAATCTGTTTTGATTTATTCTTTCTCTGTCCCTGAGTTAGAGTAGTCAGTATAGTAGGCTATCTTGCAGTGACAAACGACATTAAAAAACAACACAAAAACATATAATTTTTGAGTTCTGTATCTCATGTAACAAATTTTATTATAACACTATTCAAAAATTAAGTTTAATATACATACTAAGTACCAATAAATCTTGCATATTATAAGCTTAAAATAATGATTCTTTAATAGTTTAAACTTCACGATCTACAACAAATAACAATAGAAACTATCTCTCAATACTTTTTAAGTCCATTATAATTACTATGTACTAGCCAGCTGTCATATATCTCAGGTTATTATAAAACCACAAAACATGTATACAACATTGATATTTCTACAAGTTTTAGCTAAAACATTGCCTAAACATGACAAAATACTTTTCATGCAACTAAATTTCATTGAAAATGTATATTTTATTATAATTTGCACAGTTTTATGTAACAACATATTCTGAATTCTGAAATAGAAAATATGTTCAGAAGAAAAAAAAGGCCATTTAATTTGAAGACCACTGTCAACTTTTAAAACATGTAAGATAAAACTGGTAACAACTTTGACCTACTTTCAACCCTTATAATACATGATGATATGTGAATCTATTAAACACTCTTGGTGATCAGTAGAAGGTTAATGTGGTAATTGCAATCAGTATTGTTATATGCTATAAATGTTTTGAAACATTATTTTTGAGTTAACCTTTAATGGTTAACTTCTGAAGTGACTATGCTGTAAATGTCAAAAGTTCTTTTTTTTTAGTTATGATGTACACTAGAACCACTGGGCTTATTTTTACAAAACATGATATACAACTTTGGATTATCTTAAAAATATGTTGTTTGGAAAACCATAAAAGAAAGTTTTAAAGTAAAAATGATTCCTAAAATTTAACGTGTTACATTCATTTAATCAGTGATATATTTTTTATAAGTAATAAAAATTGCATCAACTCCAAGTTTACTTTGAATGTAAGGGTTTCTCAGGGAATCTAATAAATTTTTAGCATGGTAAATATAGAAATGACGAGTCTCATGTGTTCGGAGATTATGCACTTCCATGGGATTTCCTCAACGTGTTTGTTTAATCTCATTATTACTGAAACTTATTGATTAGCTATAAACACTCACAAATTATGATCCTTTTACTTTTTTAATCATCAGGAGTAATTGTTAGGAGATATGTTTGAGTTTTATAAAAATACTTCATGGGCTTTTTGAAGACTTTCTTCTTTTGAATGGTGAAGTCGAGCCCCTTCAATGGCAGTTAAACCTGGGATACCTAATGGCAGTGACACTAAGTGGCTCTCATGCTGAAGAATATTTTCAGCTTCACCTAAGTCAAGGTATTAAAAATTAGTCCAATAATATCTAACTATGTGCATATATATATATATATAAATAGATACTTACACACAGTGAGAAAAAAATATTCTGTTTACATTTTCACTCACAAAACATCCAAAAGTAAATGAAGAGTAAGTTTTGCTACTAATCTTTGTTGCTAAAATTAAACTTTTTTTTTCAGACCTACATATATTCTGTTTCTTATAGTTTCATCTAACTTATGAATAATACATAAAATATATTCGTTATGTACTCTTTGATAAAATATAAGCTTTAGTATCATGTGTTTAGAACATGGATGGTTGTCACATTAGGTTAAATTTCTTTATAACAGTGTACAGATCTTCATATATTCATCTGATAGTGCAATGCTGCCAGAAATGAATTGGCAGAATTTGTCACAGCCTTAATAGTAACAAGATTCTCATAACTCAATTCACTGCGTACAAGATAATTCACAAAGATCTTTCCTTTGCACAATAACTGAACAAACCACTTCCCAGACACATGATGACAGAAGGACAAACTACAGAAAACTAAGAAAAATGCATTACATGTAACAGGTGAAATATATGCTGTGATGTTGGATGAAGCATGCACGTACTTGAATGAGTATGAGAAGAAAGGAGTGATTTATATAATCATGAGTTGGTGAGGATCATCAATCATAGTATAATGAATGTAAACTTTGCAAAAAGTTTTTTGTTAAACTGTATGGTTACTGTCAGTTTCTCATGTAATAAAAATTTAAACTTCACAAAGTGAATTCTAGTTATTTTTAAGGAAAATTATTGACATTATTATGTAAGATGAGCCGTATAACATGTTAGGGCACCAAGAAGGTAAGAGATAGCAAGAAGTCACATGTTTCAGTCCACTGCAATAATTATAAGTGCCATTAGAAATAACACTGGTGTTCACGTTATTTTTTCGTTGCTGTAGTCACTTGACTGCATACTCAGAGGTTTGCTTTAATGTACAATGTGTAACATTTGTCAAGATGTTTAGCCAAAAACACTATTACAGAATCTTACTGTAATGAAAATTGTAGTTTCAAGCAACAGAGCATAATTGTGGCTATCAGCTAATATTATCACCAATGGAAGAACTAGTTCCAAGAACATAAGACCTAAAACATCCTTCTTATAAAGCATGATTAGCCTCCCATGCATACAAAACTCAAATTGAAAGGTTTAGTAGATAGACTGCACTTCTTCAGTAAAGAAATAAGAAGTTGTAAAAAAACAGGGACTGTTACAAAATGTATCACACTCCAGCTGGTCAATCTTTTAGAAAATAAAAAAAAATCTGCCATAATTAATTACTAAATTATTAAGCTTATAGTATGTCACTGAAAGCTGCTCTACTTGTAAAATAATAAACATTTATATACATATAACATACACTCAACCACTATTTGAAGCCTACTTCTTTCAATTTACGCTTGGCCAGCATTCCTGATGAAGGGTAGAATTCCCCGACACTGGTATAACTCAGTGACAATTGGTAAATTAGATGAAGATTGTGCTTCGTATTTATGTTTAACAAAACATTTGAGACGTCTTCATGCACTAAAGTTTCTGATATCATAAACACCGTTCATCACTAATGACAACCATTTTAACTAGCATTTTGTTATGAAACGAGACTGTCTTTATCAAACCATATAATACCTTTAATTCTGTGTAGCTTTGTGCCATAAGCCATATCTGCTTGATAACCAACTATGAAGGTAAGTGGCAGAAATGGTACCAAAGTCAATGGTTTTCTAGTTTTCTTGAATCTGATGAGAAACATCAAGTGGTGATGGTTAATAACAAAGGTGTAGCAGCTAACTAATCTTTCATAATTATAAAAACTACATATATAATGACATAGGAGAGTTTTCATAAAAACACTGCAAAAATTAAAAGGAAAACCATGAGTTACTCTTACTAATACAGTGTAGCATTTACTAGTTAATCCACATGGAAATATTTCCCTAATGCACATACAGTATTAAAAAAATTATGGAAAAGGTGAGAAAAATGGGTATAAAAGGGAAATACTATCAGAATGCCATCCCTTTACTGTGTGAAAATGAGCTGCATCATAGTCACTGGCACAGTTAATAGTGATAGAGACCAAAACCTCAAAAAGTAATGCTAAGTATCTTAGGGTATGTTCTTTGTTCTTACAAGATAGATGATGGTCAAATACAGTTCTCGCTAACAACATCATTGTAAGTACAGATGTGTTACCTCAAAAACAGTAAGATACATGTTAACATGAAGTGGTCACAATGGATATGTATTTGCTTGAAAACTGTTGCTGAGAAAAGGAAACCAAACCAAAAAGTCTACAAATCATATAATAAGTATAGAAAATGGACATGTGCTCTTTACAGATGAATCCAAGTTGGAATTGTTTAGCAACTATCAGTGACTGATGGCAGAAAAAAATAGTATTGTAGTCAACAGACACACAATCAGGATTTTTTTAAGAGGGCTCAATTTTAATTTACTCATTTCTAAGTGATATATTTTAGTTGATAAAAGTCTTCAGTGTATCTTATATTGAGCAAATAACAAAAACATAATTATATTTCTAACTGTTTCATGGTATGTCTGGTTAGAGATAAGTATTCAGCTATCTAAATATGACTCTTCCTAGAATATATATTTTTGGCACAAATTTTAAAAGTTCATTGTGCACACGACAGTCAAAATACTACATCTACAGGGGTTTTAGTACATGTTTGGAGCTAAAGCTCAATCAATAATGTTAGTGATCTGCCTAAAATTTATGGTACACTGACTGCAGATAAATACAGGCAGATTGTGATCCATCTTTATTTTCCTCAGAAGCATGGCTCATTAGACAGGTATTCATCTTCCAGCAAAATAATGATTTCATGCTTACAGTAAATATGGTGAAACAATACCTTGAGGCCAATAAAAACCTCATAATCATGGCTTGGCCTTCAGATGGTCTCAATATGATCATTTTTGAGGCTGTATGGTCTTACATATATATATATATAAACTTTGAATGTCAAAAGGTAACCAAACAACTTTGTTAAACTGTGGGGAATAATAGAAGACATTTGGAACAACATTCCACAAATGCATTTGTATGCTGATAACCTGACATCCTTAGAACAAGGCATAATGCTCTGTGTAAGCTCACATATAAAATGTGATAATGTTTCACAACATTAATAAGTCCATCAACTAGTTACTATTACTCACTGTAAGTATATTACTTGTGCTTTTCCATAATTATTTTTATTACTGTATATTCTGACAAACCTATGGTTGACTAATTACATTTGTTTACTATTAGGTCTGGCTCCAGCATTGTACCAAACCTCTTTAAAAATCCCTTTAGCCCTTTTAGTTGTCACTCATGAGCTCTCTTGTATTTTTATATCGAAACCTACAATATGGTGTTCTGTCATATTGAAAATAACAACAAAACTACCTTTTTCAGAACATATCTGTGGTCTGAAAACTCATAAGAAACAGCAAGTACATGATGAGGCCAAAAAATTAACATTTGGAATTTCTTTTTGTAGTTTCTTCATTCACATTACCCTTTTTCTTAATTTGTCATTTCAGTCCCAACAACTACTCCACAGGTCTTTCCAGCTTAAAAAAGCTGTAGCCAGACTTGTTTTCTGTGTAAAAGTACCATGTTATAAATAATCAAAGTAATAATAAAAGTCTGTCAGTTACATAAAGCTAAGCTCTTATAAAATTAGTTAAAATGATTTTAACCCTTTCGAGATGGGTCATGGGTGAAAGGCCATTTCATCTCGTTTGTTAAATGCATTCAAAATTTTATGGAACTACTATTTCATGAATTTATGTCAATAAGTTTAGTATCAAATTGTAAATTATAATCGAAATTTTAGTACTATATATTCAATTCAATTCTTGAATTTGAAAGCAAATATTAAAAAAACACAGATAAATATCGTTTTTTGGGTGTTACGTGGTATGTGGAATGCAGCACTGGTTCAAATTAGATGTTTGTGATGAAAAAATACTAAATGTATAGCTTCGAATGAATTAGAAACTCAAATTACCGATATATTGAAAAGCTAGAATATAAAATAAGAGCCTCTTATCTTTTTAATTTGCTAAGCTATTGCTCATGTAATAAATCAAACACAGTGGTACCCTGCCCACCTCTTTCCATTTTTGGAAACACTCCCTTATACACACTTACTTCTATATATGACATGGATAACCAATTGAAAAATTCAGAATGTCCCCTTAGTGGCTTTCTCAGCCATTTTAATGAACTTGTCGCCAATTCTTTCTTTTGAACCAATATTTCAACAAGGTAGGGTGTGTCTAGTCTGCTCGAAAATTTCATATTTTTTAAACTAAAATACATCTTAGTTACTAAGCTTTATAAATTATAGTGGAATTTTGTGGTATTAATGTAGTAATTTATGATTTTTTAGTTATTCAAATGTATATATATAAATAAAACCTAAAAAAAATATTTTGTTTCATATCCTCCACGTGCGAAATTTTTAAAGGCTTAGCAACCTACGTAAAGCAGCAACCGAGTACAAAGGCCGTAAGTAGAAGAGAACTGTTTGCTTGACTTCTTTATTTACTTTTCTATGTTTTAGAAAAAATATGTTTTTCAAAATAGCAATAATCTATATACATATATAATGTATAATAGTTGAAATGTGACTGTATTTTACAAGATACTAAACACAGCCAAGAAAAGTTACTTTGCACACACCAGAGGTCAGTTTTATATAAATTGATTTGGTAACATGAGTGCACATGAGCCATGTCATTGTAACTTCTGTATTGTTAGCCAGGTATGGCTGAAAGGTCAATATAATAAAAATAATAAATATATATATAAATGTATAATGTTATGAGATTTAAGCTATTTAATCTAAACATTTATGTTTTCGTGTTATAATCTGTGTTCATCCTAGAATGAAAGAGGCATAATTTATATATATTTCCTAATTTTTTTATGGTGGTCGCAAGTTCGGTCAAACTGTACAGAGATTAATTACTGAAAATAACACATAAAATAATGTTTTTCTTAAGAAACATTTGATAACTATCTCAACATTATAAAGATTTCAC